CGACGAAAATTTCATCAATGATAACATACGCAAATTACCGTTGTTACGGGAGATTTGTTTACGGGTAGGCATTCAGATAGCAGCACAGGGATACCACTTTATTAAAAAGAAATCGAAGAAGAGACCCACTACGTTTATGCCCGATGACATAGTAAACTTGATTCCTATCGTAAAACAAGCTACCCCAAAAGTAAGGATTAAAAATTCGTGAAATTACGTTTAAATATTATATACTGATCCAAGTTTATAGTGTTCTTTCGCAGAAGAAACCTTCGAGGCTGGAAAACTGAGTATCGCTCAAGGTATGATGTGACTAGTTATTGTGTTTTGTTATTCAATTTTATCTGAGCGACGGTTTTTTGTCTCATGTTCTAGGTCATCGGGATCTCGGTGTCGACATCATGCTACAGTCATTAGCTTTGCACGAACAGAGCTACGGATTCCTTCATCCAGCAACAGCAAAGTGTTATGCAGCGTTGGCAATGTACTTCTATCATAATGAAGATTTGGAGGTTGCCATCGATTTTCAGAAGAAAGCAGTAGTTGTTCTTGAAAGAACGTGTGGCGTCGATAGCGTCGATTCTGTTCACAGCTATGTAAGTAGCATCTTGCCTTTGTTAGACAAACTTAAACACAATTGTTATTAAGAATTTGTCGTTTGCGCATCATCTTTAGCTACATCTGGGTCTTTTTGAGAATGCTATCGGAAATACTGAATTGGCTCTGCGTCACATGAGACATGCCATGTATTATTGGGAATTCCCTGTGCCGATAGTAGACTCCGGAACCGTATGTTGTGGATTAGAATTATATTCCGTGCCTAAAAGGCAATTCAAAAAATGCGATATGCAATGTGGAGCATACGCATTTGGTACTTCGTGCAAAAGACTTCGAAGTATATGCTTTGATGCTCGAATAATCATTTCATGATTGACAAGGTGCTACAAACGAGATCAAGCATTAATCGTGTGTAACCTGTCAAAATAAGATCTCCATAAATAAACAATTATCATTTGTGCGCCCACCTTTACGTGATCCAATTTGTGATCCTGTGATTCGTCTATTATGCTTGCAATCATACCCAAATATCGCATGTTGATTCCTCGACGATGCATAGTTGTTGTGAGGGAGGTACCATCAACGGGGGATACAGCAAGTGTTGTGAATTCTAGTATCTAATTATTGCACGAAAAAGGTAACGTATTAGCAAATTTTTCTTCAAATGATCTTTAAATAATGTGCATTTAAGGGAAGTAAGTCAAAGAGACAAGTAAAATTAAATGTACATTCATAATCTAATATTACTAATTCCCCAAAGTGAAACTTTTAAAACAGAATTATTTTGTTACCAGCATCCTAATGACAGTTTCCCTTAAATATTTCGATGCAAATCGAACATTTTCTTCATCATCAGCCCTGATCTTGTCATATTCTTCTCCCTGTGGTGTTTTATAATTTGTGAAAGCATCAGGATTGAATGCAAAGTTGAACTCCTCAATATTTGTAATCACTGTTTCTTGAGAAGCGCTCTCATCCTCCTGTAATAGAAAAACTTTTAGTATTGCTTCGTGCGCATCGATCACAATTGATCCGCGATATTACTTGTTTCTTGCTAGCTTTTTCCTGAAGCCAACTTCTGAATTTACTGTCCCAACACGATTCGATCAGTTCAGGTCGGAGTAACGTCAGCTTGTGCGGGTAAATAGGCATATCACTACCTTCCTTGACCTCGCATTCTTGTTCTAAAAATTCGATATCGACCGGACTAAAACGGTATAAATCGAACAAGTACCGACGACCATCGTCCCCCATTAAACCCTGTGTCGCATAGCAGAATGAATCAACGAAAAGTTTTGAAATGAATAGAAGCAACATTAGATTTTTTAAAAACCTTTGTTTCTAGAGAGGTATATAATTTGACGGATGTCCCCTTCGCATCACAAACGCTATTATGAAAGAGTTGGTTAAAAGACACGACATAATTGATTGCAAATTAGATTGGGTATAGAATCAATAAAATAGTAGCTACGTGTGTTCCGATAGATGGAGGGCTTTCGCGGCTTTTCCAACGATCTCGTGAAATTCTGGATTAGAACATAATTTTGGTTCATCGCGGCCATTGTCAAAATATCCATAAACAATAGAAGAATCATCTTGGCGTCGAAATATTCCTTAAATGATAAAGGAGGTCAAATATATATTGAGAAAAATAAAGTCCATTCATCGGATAATAATAATAATAATAATAATAATAATAATAATAAACTTATAATACCTGGTACGATAGTTTGCGCGACTATTCTGACACCCTTGTAATCTACAACAACACAACCTAAAGTATATAACCCCTCAACGTCCACCAAGTTCACAGTTCGTATTCCCTCTAAATCCTTTCCGGTGGCCACATGTGCAGCATAATTACCACCAAGCTTTGCAAATGTCCCTCTTGTGTCAAACGCTTTGCTGAAGAATATATTGTTATATACGTACATGTGCTCTTCCTCTGGGTCACGAGGGTTGAATGGAACAACATTGCCGTTAACTACCGCAATAGCTCCCCTCACTGCGCTTTCAGTAAAATCGGCTTGGATTTTGTTGACAAGTCTTTCTCGTAACACTCGATCTTTCAATTCAGTTTTGGGATATTCTCTTTGAGATTGAAATTCATCATTCCAATCACGAAGAGAATCGACCGCATCAGTACCATAATTCAAATATATATCAGATAATCGTCCCATATCGTAGGTATGCTTTGCCTGTCTGACAGCCCACGGGTAGGCGGGGAAACAAGTGTTAACAGGAATGGTCTCAAAAGGGTGGTGCGACCCGGTGAAGTCTTGTAGTGCTTTAAAGTTGGCACGAAATGCAGGTGAAAGTCCTTGCAAAAGGGTTATGAGTGAATGTGCATGGTATATTTGAAGCTCGGACCGAGGATTAGGGTCAAAATTTTTCAAAGTCGATTTGTTCACAAAGAATCCATTTGCTCCCGCTGTGATATGTAAGGTTTCACCCTCAATTGTTATCACAGTTAAATATAACAGATCTCCTACATGACGTAAAAATGAAATCAATCAATCGCGACCATTGGTCATGGAATCAGAGTTAATTGAACCTAGGTTACCTCGTCGGCGACGTTCAAACGGTACGGGATTCCATCCAGAAAGATACAGAGTTTCAAGACATTTAATTTTACACTGCCCAAAATTTTCCGGTATGAATTTTGAAAGTGATGGAGTCGTAAAATCATAATCAGTAAAAGGTGTTTGTGGTGAATTCGGTTGCTCTTCGTCGTCTTTCAATGATTTACTATTTTCCTTCGATTTTCCATTGGTGGCCTTTTCCAAAGTTCCACTGATCGCTGTAAAGAAGGACAATCCTGGATCTATGCCAACTGCTGATGGATTCTGTTTAAATGGTCCGACAAGTAAATCACGGACATGGATGACATGAATGCGAGCTTCACGTTCGGTATAGGGATCTACAGGAAAACGGGAAGATCAATTAAAACATTTCAACACATGATTTAATCATCAATCAAATGGTGTGTGGTCAACCTTCGATAAGTTCCAAGTCGCAATCTTGAGTGATGTTTTCTTCCTGGAGTTCTTTATAGTCATCTAGTCGCCTGCCGTTCAAATAAAGGGAGAAGCAGGTATATATACAGGTTTCAGGTGAGTCGGTGAGCCATTGTTTAACCTCTTGTACGAGTTCACTCGCATTTGCCTAAAGAAATTAAACACAATTAGTATTCAAATTTTGGCGATAACTCGAATCGTTTTAACATACAAAGACATAAGTTGGCCCCGGATAATGCGGTATCTTAATTGCTAGTGTAAAATGCGGTTCATCCACCTCCTCAATAGCGTTCTCTGTCACGTCTTTAATGGGTTTTCCTGATTTTGGTTCGGTATCTGGAGTTACTTTTTTATTTGCAGACTCTGATGCCATTTCAATGCGATAGTGCGGTGTAAGATCTTTTTTTTGGTCTATTTATATGAAAAATTTTTTTGATAATTTAGATTGAGATTCCCGATTTAGCAAGATGTTTTCGGCTTTAGATAAGATTATCACATGATTTTCGTGATCTCCGGAAATCAACCCTTTCAAAGAGATGTTTAAAATCTCCTCTCCACTCAGCTTATAAACTTTATTTAGACTTAACTTATACTTAATGCTACGAATGAATGTATTTTTATATCTGGTAAATTTTTTTTTTTTTTATTAATTTACGATACATATCAAATATTGTTCTCAGGAACTAAATATTGATGTTAGAGATTATTATTATTAAACCCTTATCTAACAGTAATAATAAGAAACGACCATGTTAACCTAGAATTTCTCTAATAAAGAAAAAAATCATTGCTGTATATATACTGCACTTAAAATAATTAAATTAAAGATATTAATTAACATTCCAACCAAACTTACTTTTTATCACAAAAAAGAAAAAAATATTGACGGGAAATACAAAAAGTCACAATGTATCCCTTAAACTGTATTCTGGGCAAATTTGTTTGAAACTTCGATTAAACACGTGATTTTCCATAGAGATCATCTATAAGTAGAAAAGACATTAAATAATTAATTAATATCTACCTAATAATATTATTATTGAATTTTTTTTTTTTAATTCACAATTAGAGTCTTTATTGTATATATACTAGATATTTACAAAAATGTTATGACTTTCACATATTAACTTACTTGTTATATAAAAACTAATTTTTTAAATATAACTTAAGAAATAATATTTTATTCTTTTATTGATTTGGATTAATTTTTTTTTTTTGAGTACCCGAAGCCAGGCTAAATTATCAATTTATTAACCAATTGAAAACAAAAATACATTTTTATTTGAGCAGCATGATACATATTACAGCTAAACTATTATTCTAATCTAACTAACTCGTCATAAGCATAAAAGCCTTTAAGTTTGACCTTGGGGACAATATTTCGCTTCACAGTGTCTTTGGGTAAATACCCTCCTAGTTCACTGCATCCTTGCCAGCAGGTTGTCACTGCTGTATGTCTAACCAAGCCACTGGAAAACAGAAAACTACAAAAGGATGGATTGAAAAAAGGGAAAGGGGGATATCTAAAAATATCTAAG